TGCCATGACTTAACGGCCTCGTTTCGTTCAGTATACTAGCAGTATCAAGACGAAGCCGTTATGCCATGACTTAACGGCCTCGTTTCGTTCAGTATACTAGCAGTATCAAGACGAAGCCTCGCACTTTTCGATGCTGCTAAAGTATTGATGATGATGATGGATATTTTCGCCGTATAGTCTATATAGTTTATATTAGACTATTAGTGGTATCGAAACGAAGCCTAAATAATTTTGTAAGATAGGTCTGTAGTATATTTTGTAGTATATTTTAGCAAAAGTATATTTTTAAAAGTAATTTATATATAATTTTTTGTGTGTGTTTTGATGTTATGTACTCAGGTGAATATAATGTTTTTGATGTTACTCTGAGTGTATATCCACACCGGGCAGGCTGAAAAGTTAGCCTGACCACTGTGGGAATCGAACCCTGAACTAGTATCACAAAGGTCGCGGGTTCGTTTGGGAACTAGAGAGCTCAAATAGTAAAAATTATCAATAATCTTACCCAATTAAATACTGCACATATACTTGTCAAAGTTTGAAACAATGAATGACGAACCTCAACAGCGAAAGTTGCCATTGTCTGATCGGTTTTCTCATGCCGGAATATCTTGGATTTCTTAAGTGAAGTCGTTCCCAGATTTACGGGTACGGGTACGTGTATATCACCCGTACCGGTAAACCGGAACCGGGGTATCTTAACCTCTCTACTGCTAATATACTGAACGAAACGAGGCCGTTAAGTCATGGAATAACGGCTTCGTCTTGATACTGCTAGTATACTGAACGAAACGAGGCCGTTAAGTCATGACATAACGGCTTCGTCTTGATACTGCTAGTATACTGAACGAAACGAGGTCGTTAAGTCATGGCATAACGGCTTCGTCTTGATACTGCTAATATACTGAACGAAACGAGGCCGTTAAGTCATGGCATAACGGCTTCGTCTTGATACTGCTAATATACTGAACGAAACGAGGCCGTTAAGTCATGGCATAACGGCTTCGTCTTGATACTGCTAATATACTGAACGAAACGAGGCCGTTAAGTCATGGCATAACGGCTTCGTTTTGATACTGCCAATATACTGAACGGAACGAGGCCGTTAAGTCATGGCATAACGGCTTCGTCTTGATACTGCTAATATACTGAACGAAACGAGGCCGTTAAGTCATGGCATAACGGCTTCGTTTTGATACTGCCAATATACTGAACGAAACGAGGCCGTTAAGTCATGGCATAACGGCTTCGTCTTGATACTGCCAATATACTGAACGAAACGAGGCCGTTAAGTCATGGCATAACGGCTTCGTCTTGATACTGCTAATATACTGAACGAAACGAGGCCGTTAAGTCATGGAATAACGGCTTCGTTTTGATACTGCTAATATACTGAACGAAACGAGGCCGTTAAGTCATGGAATAACGGCTTCGTTTTGGTCTGTATATAATAAACTAATGGTATGACTTTTTACCTACGTTTAAAACGGCCTTAAAATCGTTGATATATACTAACCAATATAATGGCCTAAATTGTCATTATAATAATTCCCCTATAATAATTATTATTTACTCTCTAACAGCAGATAATCTTACTCATCAAGGGCAATTTTGTACCTTGATGAGTAATACACATACAAAATACTAAACTGTTTCATTACATATTTTATGTCTGAACCTTTGACATTGCAACAAAATAGGTTTGGGTGGGGTAAAAAAATTTTCTGGTATTCCACCGGTGGGGTAGCTAGAAATTTTGTTTCGAAAAAGGTGGGGTAATGATTTTTTCCTGCTTCATTATACTTTCTCTTCGGCCCCCTGACCCCTGCCATAAGGCCATGGGAATGAAAGTCATAGATTTGCGTCCGGATAATTTGGAAAAAACATGCGGGGTTTTTTCATTATTCATTATTCATTATTTTTTTACCATCCTTTTGGGTGGTAAATACAGAGATCAAAACACGAATTACCGTTTACGCCACGGAATTACATATATCTCGAGCTCACGCAGTTGCAGTACTGAAGATCTGTGTGCCAATTTCGCCATTTCGGTGAATATAATTTGGAATTTCATAGAATGTGGATACTGAGGACAAACACACTGCAATATGTTCATTTTATTGTAATCAATACACAATTTTATTGCTAATTTTATTGAGTTTTGCTTTATTTGTGAAAATAATGAATTTTTTGTAAATAATGAAAATTTTAGGCGGTAGCTTTTGAGGCATGCGGGCGGTGGACGCAAATCTATGACTTTCATTCCCATGGCCTAAATAATGACCGGTCCCTAATATTTTAGTTCTTTATTAAGTCTTGTTCAACCAAGATGTAAAATTAAACAAGTCTTTCAAAAAAGGGTGCATACCGATACCACTGTTTGTGGTATCGCTGGTATCGAATAACAAGTATCGCCCATCACTACTGACGCTCGGTGTCGTCATCGGTAATGCTCGGTATCACCATGGATAATAAAATAAATGGATAGGAAACTAGCTGACGTGATCGACCTAATGTTTTCAATGGGATGATGGCGTTGAAACTTAGTTGCAAACCAAATTCTCAAAAATGGCATATTTAGCAATAATACATGCAGCTAAACATTTTAGTCAAAGAGCAAATAAATATAACTACGCCATTCTACGATGAAAAGTATTCCCAGTCAATTTTAGCAAATATTTTAAGTACTAAACAGTGAAAAATGTATCGCAAATTTCGTTAAAATTGGCGACGCCAATTTCGTAGCTACAAATGTAAAAAAAATACAAAACAAAGACGAAAAACATTTACCTTGAATACTTTGTCGTGGCTTAGGCATGTTTTTAAAACAATTAGACCAGTTTATGCTTCAATATTACTCTTTTAAAGCGGAAAATATAGCGAAACAACAAAAATGCTGAGAACTTTGGCAATACGGGTGACGTCACAGATTGTAACTAGGTTTAGACTGTGACGTCAGGAAGTTTCCTATCCAGTTATTTTACAATCTATGGTATCACCCATCACTACTGACAAACTAGTCAGTAGGAAATAGGAGTCAAGAAGCTGATTTTGAATGACATTATTTACCATATATTTTTCAATTTGAAAATTAAAAGTCATAATTCGCAATATTTTGCAACCATGCTCGTCGCCTAATTTAGATAATAAAGAGGTTCTTTTTAAAGGGTATGGGCAATGAAAATTGCTTCATCTATCTTATTGCTTCATCTATCTTATTGCCTCGTCTGAAAGAGCATGAAAAAATAAGCCGATTGGCCGTTTAATGCTTTATTCTATCTCATCTAGTTCCGAAGTTATACACAAAAATGTGCAAAATATAAATTGCTGATTCAGCACAACATGTGACGTCATTAGCTGGGTAAGTATGTTTATTGAATACTACACTGAAGCATAGCTCAGTTATTATGGGCTCAAATCAAATGAAATTTTGGATACTGATTGTACATGATGAGACGCATGTAAAAACACTTCTAATTTTGTTGCCAAGGTAACAATGTCGTTCCCAGGCCCTTTGCGCCAATTTTATAAAACAGCTTTATTCAAGGGACTGATAAAAATAAAATAATATCAGAAGTATGTGTACGATACCTATGAATGCCGAAAGTTTACTTGCATGATAATAATTCGAAAATGACATACACATAGAGAAATGCAACTAGTTATTCAAAATCAGTGTAAGGGGCCTGGGAACGACTGTGTTGCCTTGACAACGAAATGATGCGTCTCATCATGTACTATCTGTATGCAAAATTTCATTTGATTTGAGCCAATAATAACTTAGCTATGCTTTAGTTTACTATTCAATAACTTACCCCGCTTATGACGTCACACATTGTGCTGAATCAGCAATTTATATTTTGCACATTTTTGCGTATAACTTCGGAACCAGATGAGATAGAATAGAGCAGTAAACGGCCAATCGGCTTATTTTTTCATGCTCTTTCAGATGAAGCAATAAGTTAGATGAAGCAATTTTCATTGCCCATACCCTAAAATCATTTGAATTCGGTCTCTCAAGGCCAAGGAGAGATGTTATAAATATACAGACAGCTTGTCTGCTATAAGCAATTATACACTTTAATCCATTGCCAAAAGCTAAAAGCATTTTTAAATTAATTGATAATTTTCCGTAATTTGGAGATAAAAAGATATTCGCTATGACGTATGTTTTTTGTTGTTTTTCTTCCTTAATTTAGATATTTCGTTATCTTGATTCTTGATACCATTGTAATGCCTGTAATAAACCGCAAAAAGATCCTTGACCTTGTAGGACCTAGTTAACATCTACGCTTCTCACGAATCACGAAAATAAATTAATGTTTACGAATTTTAACTGTTACAACTACCATGAAATGGCAAGTGCCTTTTATTTGTACATTCCTGTACCTCTGATGTAAGTGAGAGTTCTTTCAGAGTCCCTGACTCAACCAAACACAATGGACCATAGCAGCCCACTAAACGATAGCCTGCTCACAGACGTTGTAGTTCTTACGCCAAGCGACGAAATACTACCGCCTGCTTACCCGAGCTGCATATTCAATTCCCTTTGTTTTAGGAGCCAATCATCTGGCAGTGTTCAAAAACGTTAGAGCCAATTGGAAGCCGCCTTATTGAGAGATTAGCTACTGGGGAAAGCCCTTGCGCATGCATTGGAATATATTGTTTGGGTTGAAACTTGAAATTTGTTTACTTGCGTGGATATATTTTGGAAACTATAGCGTTGAACTTCACGATGTTTACGTAGAATAATATTGTGATCATCTTCTCGCATGTTTAGCAAACAATCGGTGTATATAAAGTGCTAAAGCAGTGCAGTAGGCGAAATTTAAATTTTTGTTTTAATATAACAATGACAAACAATCAATCGGGAACCAGGATATGTCCAAATGTTGCTCTTGATACTTCCTATATGCCATGACTTCGACGAAAACTTCTAAAAGATTAAGCTGTCATTGTCATGTCGAAAAGTATAGCCAAGTTAGAGTATAAACGTTTCGAAGTTTGGGCGAATTGGAAAATTCATCACGGCGCAATTTTAATACAAGTTTCTCGGGTTTGTGTTGTGTTTACAGTTTACATTCAGAAGTGGTTGCTCAAACAGCAAATTAGTTTATTAGTTTTGTCGCTTTCTAAGCCACAGTACTATATAAAATTTTCTGTCTTCCGAGTTCTGTTGTCTTGTAAAGATAAACCGTTCAAATTTCAGCGAAATATATTCGGCATTTGATGCTGTCTGGCTAAGCTTAAGATTCATACAGTATAAATATGCAAATCCTGTCCGCGTTTTAAATATATTAAACCGAACATCTTTAATATCCAAATCTGATCATTAATGGTGCATTTTATTACCTGGACAATTATCAGTATCTCAGAGGAGGTCGGACAAGCAATTAGCGAGTTGTCACGTGAGCTCTCGACCAATGAGATCGCTCTATTTTCCATAGTGTTTTCTGCAGAATTTGGGCAGAAAAATTTGTATTCGACGGAAAATAAATCGAGAAAAAACATTAACATTAAAATTTTCTTGCAAAATGTCAAGTGTAGTAGTACTACGGCTATAAAGATCTGGTGATATCTGCAAAAATCTCTAAGGTAAACGTTATTTTCAATGTTATTTTGATATTTGAAGTTAGACGACTCCCCGCGACGTGTTGACTCAAGTCTAAATATGTTTACAATGTTTAAAATGAAATATCTAGAATTCCCGTAGTTCGATTTTCCTCATTTTTGGCAGTCGTCAAGAAAAAAATATAAGCTTTAAATCTGCTGGAATGATCCCGGTGATCCCCCGGCAGTTTTCGAGATATTCGCCATTGAAGCGACATTGGCATTCAACTCGACGCTCGCTAAAATGGCGTCTAATATCTTGGAAAGAATTTGCGCCATCAAATATTATATTTTCAGTGAATTTTTGTTAAAGTGTTAAAATATTATTTAGAAGACTTAGGAGTTGTTTCAATATTTTTGTAGAATTTATATCTGCGATTTTCAAAGTTTTTTTGTCTTTGGCCGACGCGACTGGATCGTGTACATATTCCCATACGAGCTGATCGCCTGATCCTGGGGGTTTTGTTGCAAATCGAGCTGCGGAATCCTCAGCATGGACATCTCAGTGTTATAACAGCCCATTTCAAACCAACAGAGAGCTCCACTTGTTTTAAAACAATAAAACAAGTTTTTATAGTATTATCTTGTATTTTTTAGAACCACTGAGTATTTTAATAAAATACAAAACAAGTGAAACTCCAAAAATCGATAACATTTTTATTTATCTACGTTTCGACTATATTTCAGTCATCATCAGGATAAACTAGCTAGGTTATATATCAAAAGCGGTATTTATATGAAGAAATATGATACAATAGTTAGGTTGATTATTAACGAATTAATTAAATATGATTAGTTCTTTAGAAGCTTTAAGTCCGTGATTAGTTCTGGTGTATAAGCAGCGATCAGTTTTGCCGATGTACCTACTATTACATCCAGGGCAATTGAATTCATAAACTACAGAGCTTTGATAAGTTTTCGGGGTTTTATCTTTGCATGACACAAATACGTTGCTGTTAATGGTTTTCCAGTTAATAATGAATCGGCATTTTAATATGAGGAGAGGGGTTATTTTGCGTATCAACGAACGAGTTAGTCTTTCACCAAAATTTCCAAGATAGGGTAGCTGTAACCAGATTTTAGGAGTTTTGTTTGATTCAGTCATTGTGGCTTCGTTGTCGTTGTCATTAGATACTGGTGGTGATGGTTTAAATTGGTTAATAAGTTTTTGGGTTAATTTGCGAGGGAAACCATTCCAAGACATGAAATTTTGGATTTGTTTTAATTCGTTGTTCAGGAGAGTGGCATTACTGCAGATTTTGTAGGCGCGATTTACGAGAGCACGGACCAAGCAATTTTTCATGACCAGGGTGTGAAGCTTGATATATGGGAGTATTAACCAGTATGAGTGGGCTTTCTATAGACAGAAGTTCCAGAGGGGTGGATGTGGATGTGGATGTGGATGTCAAGGAAATGGATGTCATTGTCGCTAAATTCGTCAACGGTGAATTGCAAGTTGGGATGGAAAGAGTTAAATTTAGTAAGAATTAATTGTACGTCAGATGGTTTCATAAGAATAAGGGTGTCATCACATAACGTTTGTAAAATCTTATTAGTCCTGAATTAATGAGAGGTTTAACAATTTCTTGTTCAAATTCCGTCATGATTATGTTAGCTAATGTCGGACCTAAGGGTGAACCCATAGAAACCCCGTCGATTTGTTTATAAAGATGTCCATTAAGTGAAAAGATTGTTTTGGTACATGAGTCTAGTATTAGTTTCTTTAGTGTTCGTTTAGTTAACTTCGTCGATATTAGCTTATATCATCATAGATGCGTTTTAATATTATGTTAACAGTTTTGTGGAGTGGGATATTAGTAAATAGGGATTTTACGTCAAAAGAAACAAACTTGTATCCGTCATTAAATAGGTTAGGAGGAATATTATTAATCTCATGTACCGCATCAAAGCTATCTCGTATTGTAAATTCATTAATAATTGTCAAAGGACAATAAAAACTTAATCATGAACTTAAAGAACTCAATCAATCAAACTTAATCCTGAACTTAATCATGGACTTAAAGCGTCTAAAGAACTAATCATATTTAATTAATTCGTTAATAATCAACCTAACTATTGTATCATATTTCTTCATATAAATACCGCTTTTGATATATAACCTAGCTAGTTTATCCTGATGATGACTGAAATATAGTCGAAACGTAGATAAATAAAAATGTTATGGATTTTTGGAGTTTCACTTGTTTTGTATTTTATCTTGTATCATATATCAAATTATAAAGTATCATAGAAATAAA